AAAAAACAATATCGGAGGTGGAGGTAGTGTTGGGCTTGACATTTTTTTTAAAATGGTGGATGTATCTCTGTCTAGCTTTAAATTTTAGGATGGAATTCAACCATTTTGAAAGAACTTGTGGGAAGTCTTGGATTTTAGCCAAATATTAGGGGATCGCATATACCTATATTTGGAAGGTTCCTTTTTTAATTGACCATAAATATATGTAATAATGTATTAGTAAAAACTAAATAAAAAAAAGTCGATGTTTGAAAAATATACATTAAGATCAATCTTACAACATATTACACTATACCATTTGTTTTTTTTGTGTATTAGTAAGAAAATGAGGTCATGGTTATGTTACACAACCGAAAGAGTTGAGCAGAAACTTAGAATATCTTTTATTAATCCTTTTCAATTTATATTAGTATTTTCTCTTCTTGGGTTTTCACTTTACACTCTCTTTGATTTTTTCTCAATATATTCTTGTTTTTTTTCACTTTCATTGGGATTAATTATTTTCTGTTGTTGTGGTAGCAAGAAAATGTAGTCAAAGTTAATTTATGATTAGTGCAAAATTCAATCCATTGTGAGTAACAAATGTAGTAGTATTTACCATAAAAATGAATGCTTTTAACCGGAGACAGGCAACAGCCAGTCTGAGTTCATCACTGGTGGAATTTTATAGGTCAAAATGTTTGTTGTCTTACCCCCTAGATTAAAGTTATGGATCATCAGCTTTTAATTTGAAAGTATCTGTGTAGCTTAAAGTGATCTTTTGCACTGCTAATGCAGTGTCAGACTGGCTAACTTGTTATTTCATTTTATCCGCCATTCACATTGTGCTGATGTTAAATGTCAGGCCATATATTGGTTGAAATAATAGTCACTTTAGTTGGCTTCTTTACTGGCCATTGGCCTCCCTCTTATCTTGTTTCTACAGTTTTGTTCATTCCTTTTGACTTCTGGCCTTTTACATTATCATAGGATGATTTTATGGCGAACGACGGTTATGAAACTGACGATAAACATATGAAGAGTGAATCAGTGCAAAAAGAGGAGACAGTAGATGACAAAGACCAGAGTAATATAGTAACAAGCCTTGCTGAAAAGGCAATGTCAGTCGCTGGTCCAGTGGTTCCTACTACGCAAGATGGAGCTGTGGATCAAGATAGGTTAGACTCTGGCTTTTGTCATGTTCTTCTCTATTTTAGTCTGCCTCTTTTTTCACATTTCTCCCCCTTTCTTGAGTGTGTATGTGAATGTTTATCTAATTGAATTATTGCTTTATCAGGATCGTCGCAATGCTGGCAGGATTGGGCCAAAGAGGTGGCGCGCTAAGGCTCGTTGGAAAATTGGCTTTACTGTGGGGTGGTCTTCGTGGTGCTATGAGTTTGACAGACAAGCTTTTCTCATTTTTACGTATTGCCGACCAGCCTTTATTTCTGAGGTGATTTGTGCTAAAGTTTTTCAAATAAAACCAAAGTCACTAGTGTGTGGGAATCACAAAGATTGCATATATCCATATCTGCTTTTGTCTTTGTTGTGTACTATACTAGTTTGTATTCATTGCATTTCCTTTTTTGGATATCATTAAATAAATACACATTGTATGCATCTCCTTTTGCTGGAGAACAGGAGATTATCAGGCTATTATGATGCTTCTTTAAATCTTGGATGGCTAATCTTGTACAATTCAGTATATATGGTGCTATTTAAAATTTCTGTGTGTCCTAGGTTTATTTAACCTGGTGTTTATCAAGTTGTGACCTTGTTTTGAAAGTCCTACACATGATAGACTAAAAGAATGGCAAATAATTACATGCTGGAATCATGACTCTTCAGTAGAATGTCTGTAATCACTGATAGCTGATTACAACCATCAATCTAGATTATGGCAAAATCTTAGTGCCCTCAGTCCTTCCGAATTGTGTGTATCAACTAAATATTTTTCAACTAATTTGAACTTTTCTTAGTGAATTCATTATGTTTTTACTTTTAAACGCCTTTAAAATAATGGATTGCTGTGTCCAAAGCATACTAGTGATAATTAGTTGATTACTTAGTTTGTATCCAATACTATCCATATACCATTTTCAACCTGAACATACTGCAAATTAGATAAACATGTTTTGTTAGCTGATATGAGGAAGCATAATATTTTTTGTGGCTTAGTTAGATCTTCAACCACCTTTGAGAATATAATCTTTTGGCTGGACAGGCATGTACTGTAGATATCTGATGATAGCTTCTGATGGCTGTAGTAGTTGGCTAGTTGAAAGCCTATAAATTCTGTTAAGAACTAGTGAACCTCAGATGTTGATACCTGTAACATTTTTCCTCTTATATTGTAATTTCTTTTCTTCATGGTGTGGCTAGAAAAGCTGACATCTTCTTTGTTTATATCATTGTAAATTCTTGGAATGTATCTAAGTGCCCCTCCAGTGCTTTTTAACAGTCCTCTCTTTCGCAGGGTACTTGGATTTTCTGGCATGGTGCTAGTTTTGTGGTCTCCAGTGCTGGTGCCCCTGTTGCCTACACTATTTCAGAATTTGTTGACACATACCTCCTCTAGTATTGTCGAGCTAGCTTGCATAGTTGGGCTTTACACTGCTGTCATAATACTCATCATGCAGTGGGGGAAGGGAATACGAGGGTATGAAGATCCATTCAAGCAATACGGGCTGGATTTTACATCACCAAGAAAGGTATCAGCTAATATCTGAAGCAGTCACTTCTCCTATCAGATTATATGTTACAACATTGTCAATAATTTATATGATTTCTATTGCAACTCTAATATAAAACTCCCTTCATGTTTTTATTTATAAAAATAAACTGATTTACCAGAATTGAAGCAGCAATGAATTATTATAGATGCTGTTTTAGTTCATTATCCAGGATCTTGTTATGTTTGCTGCATCGCCTGCATGCATTGATTGGTGACTGAGCTCATCTCCTCTGACCCATATCCTGCTAAGGCAAGGTGGGAGGAGGAAGACAATAGAGAGTGAAATGTAGTAGACAACTTTTTATTTACTGTTGTTTCTTGTCAGTTTGTATCTTTTTCAATTAATTCTGTCTCTACACACAGGTGCAACACTTCTTGATAGGGTTGGTTGGAGGAGTCATGCTGGTTATCTCAATACACTCTTTGAATGCATATCTTGGCTTTGTCAAGCTTTCTTTTCCATCCAGTCTTGGTTCGTCATCCTTAACTTTTAGTGCCAAAATCAAAGCGCATGGCCAGCTGTTTCTTTCCGCTGGACAAGGACTTGCCGTGGCAGCTGGTGTTTCTTTTGTTGAAGAACTTCTTTTTAGATCATGGCTGTTAGAAGAAATCGCGATAGACCTTGGTTATCATCCTGGAATACTTCTATCAGGACTTGCATTTGCATTATCACAGAGGTATGTCTGCAACTTTTAATAGTTTGAAACTGACCTGGAAGGTATTACGTTCTGTTATTTTTCAAAAATTAAAAGATAAAATGTAGCAATGACTGTTTGGAATCGATTTGGTCAAATTTTGGTTTGAGCTTGTTTGGTTTGTTAATCAGCCAAGCTTGAGCTTAAAATAGTTCGAATTTAAATGAGCCAAACTCAAGCTCTGCTCGAAAGCTCATGAGCTCATTAGTTTAAGATATATAATATCAGATTTATAATATTGTTTATTTAATTGTTAAACCAAGGTTTAAAACAATATGCAAATTTCCAACATGACTTATCTAGTCAGAATAAATTTTATCAAACCAAGCTCTTATTGTTTAAACATATTTTATTGAATTGAGCTTGGAACAAAGTTTTTTTTTTTTTTTATTTTTTTTTATTTTTATTATTATTATTATTTTTTTTATTTTTTATTTTTATTTTAAACCAAGCTCGAACGTAATAAGTTGAAGGTGAGTTTGTGTTCGAGTTCAAACTCAATAGAATTAAACCAAATCCAAAGTATAGTCAGGTTAGAGTTCAGCTCGGCTCTAACATAGGTTTGGATATTTCCTAGGGCCCTAGGCTTTTATAATTTTAATGATGCCTCTTTGTTGTCGTGTCTTCAGAGTATTTTATAATCTTGTTCCTCTTGATGTTAGCTACATTTTTCTTACTTCAAGCAACCCAATGCTCATATAAGTCTTTTTTCATTATTTCCCAGGTCCTGGCAGGCCATTCCTGGTCTATGGCTGTTATCCTTGTGTCTTGCTGGGGCTCGATTAAGAAAGGAAGGCAGCCTTTTCATTCCCATTGGACTGCGCACTGGCCTTATGGCTTCCAGTTACTTTTTACAAACGAGTGGTTTTGTTGTTTACCTCTCAAAGATTCCATGGTGGATCATCGGTTTGCACCCCTTCCAGCCATTCAGTGGAGTAGTAGGTCTTCTCGTTGCATTATTGTTAGCAGTGACCCTATACCCAAGGCAGCCTAGGCTAAAGGAAGGAGTTCCTCGAACTATTCGGGCATGAAGCTTTTGCTTGACTACAAAAATGTGAAGGGGTTACGTTGGAGATCTGAATCTTTTATGGTTCATTTGATGAAGTTAATGGATGGTGGCTGCTTCTGTAATTTGTATACTAATAGTAGTATTTAACCTTCTGCAATGAAGTTTATGGGAGTGGAGGTGAATAACAGCTATATCTTCTGAGCATACGAGTGCAGAAAAGAATCTGCTTCAAACAACAGGATTGTGACAAATATACTCTATACGCATAAATTACGTGCCATGTAAATGTTTATAGAAATTTTTTGTAGAAAATGAAGGCGAGCATAGATTTGTAAAGTGAAGATGTTGCATATAGTACTTGAACCGAAACATTTATGAAATTGTATATATGAAAATAGCTGTTACATTTACTCTCATCAAGGAATTTTTGCATGTACTACGGACCTACTTACACTAGAGTGAAGGAAGTTTTCCCGTCTGGTGCATGAATGGTAAATACAAAGGTTGGTATTTGCAGATCATTGTGAAAGAATGGTATATACAACATAATATTTTTTTTCAAGTATCATTGTGCAGGTATACTTCATGGATCATGGAACAAAGGAAACCCAGTTGTATGTAGCCAGTCATCAGGACCATGCAGGAAAGCTCCAATAGTAAATCTCTTTGCTAGATCTTCTGTACAATTCTTCTTGTATCCTCTCCATTTAACTCTATATCTAGTGTCTGCCCCTGGTCCAGTATTAATGTACTCGATGTATTCTACTGTATCCAAATTGCTGTATTGATCCCATTGAGACCAACCCTGTGGATGTATCAGGTCTCCGAGATAACTCCTCATTATAACTGTCCTTGAGTAGTTCCTCCATGGTCGACCGAGAAAGGTATATGATCTTCTGCGATCAGGAAGAGGAAAATCCGGTGCTGCGCTGATTGTGCAGTTGGAAAGAGAGAACCCAGTATTCTGATTAGGGTCTTCTCTGCTCTGAGCAGTGATCATGTTGCTCTGCCCATATATAGGTTTCCGGGCTAGAATTTGGCAGTTGTGAAAGATGGCTGCTGCATTCCCAAAGATGAAATCAATGGTACCTTGGATGATGCATTCTCGGTAAAACTGACGGAGGGAATGAGCGTAGAGAGTGTCCTGGTTGGATGTGAAATTGCATCGGAAGAAAGCAGAGTTAGACGTCACTCTGATTGCTACTGCCTGGTACATCTCCGGACTTGCTGTGTTCTCTACTGTCAGGTCTCTGGCCAAGAACCTGTCTCCAATTACAGCTGCAGAACAGAAACCAACACAAATGACAATTAGTTCTTCCCTTCTTTAGCTATCCCCTTTTTATGTAAAATTGTAGCAGTATAATCAGGAATCAGGATAAAAGAAACAATTTGCTGTAAAACTATATACTTCCTACTGTATCATACATTTTTCAGGTAATAAAAACATAATCATTTCTGTTATTTTACACAGTTGAAATGAATCAAACACCAAGTTCATAACCAAATCACAAACTAAATCAACTAAATTCATGGTTAATTACAATTCCAACATAGTCTGAAGATCAAAGGCGAAATCAACAACACGAAGAAAAGAGAGAGAGAGAGAGAGAGAGAGAGAGAGACGTACTCAAAGTAGCTGAAGTAAAGGTTGAATACCCATCAACAATACTCCTGTTTCCACTAATTACAGTAGAATTAAGCCCACTTCCAAAGAACATAACATTCATCTTATTTCTTGGAACCTCCAAATTTTCCTTATAAATTCCCGCCTTAATTTTGATCACATACCTACTCATACTCATATTTGGCGCCATTTTTACTGCTTCCCCAATTGTTGTGTAATTCCCACTCCCATCATTCGCAACCACGACATTCGGCTTAATTCTGTAATTCCTTCTTCCCATCATCCTCCTCTCCCTCTTACTCATCCATGGCAGAAACCCGGTTTTCGATCTTTGAACCGAAGAAGAATAATACTGCTTATAATTATCCAATAACAACTGATCATCTTTTTCTTGTTTAATGCTTTCTTCCATATGTTTTACGATTGCCAGGATATTGCTAATCATTTGAACAATGGGTTTCAATTTCATCTCAAGATAAATTCTGAGACCCTTTTTCTGATGAAATTTTGATTCAATTCCCTCCAAATCAGAGAACCCATCAATGCAAGTATTCTCATTAGGCATAGCAGCACTCAAAAGAGTCTTCAAATCTCCATAATACGGCCGAAAAACCCCGAAAGAGCTACGAAGATTATCCATTGCTTGGCCTAATTCATACAATGTCTGATCAAGCATATCAAGACAGTCATTAAAAGCAGTCTTTTCTTGAGAGTTAAGCATTTCCCGAATAAAGAAATCGACAATCTCGGGCTGAGAACTCGATACGAGGCCGATAGTGTGATTAATCGAGGCCTCGAGGAAGCGATCGAGGGTAGTAAAGTGGGAAAAAGAGACAGTAGAAAGACAGAGTGAAGGGTAGAAAGTTGAAGAACAAGCTGATTTGATGATGGGGTTTAGTGAATTGAGCTGATTTGTGGGTGTTTGCGATGTTTCTTGGATTGTCGAATCGGGTTTCGAAAGCAAGAAAATGGCGGAAAGAGTGATGATGCAGAGCATGAAGTAGAGTAAGCAGAAGATTACTCTGTTTTGGGTTTTTGATGGTGAGTTCTTGGTCGTTGTTGATGTTGTTTCTGCCATTTTTAGGAGAGAGAAAATGAGAAAGATGAAATTTTGATTGTGTTGAAGAATGTTTGTTATGAAGAGAACTTGGTTGATTTGATGGTTTTTGATTTAGATTGTAAAGTAAACGAATAAGAATGATAAGAGTTTTATATATGGAGAAAATAGAAGAGCACTTATTTTGGCGGCAGAAATTAGGCCTTATTACTTTTATTTATTTATTTTTAAAAATATATATTTTTTATTTTATTTTTATTTTTTTTTGACAAAGGAAAATAAATAAAATTGTTGGTAATAAGAATTAAGTTGTCTTGTGAAAGGGCTTAAATTCTATGTTATGGTTTTTTTTTTTCGGAAATAATATATGTTGTGCATTAGCACGAGTACATTGTACAGTTTAAAACAAAATAAATTGTATTCCACCCATTGTAATCAATTTAATCATTAATTTAATTAGCTGAGTGTTATTTCAAAAAACATAAAAATGAAAGTTAATTAGTCGGGTGGAAAACTAGAGTTTGGAGATAATGTGAAATTTGTACGTTTTAACTTATTGTTTGTTTAAGTTTTTTTTCAGGGTGTTCTACTCAGTTCACCCATTTGTTAATCTGGATTAAAATGGTTAGGTTTCTCTCCCCTTCCAATTATTGTTGCGGGAATCAAAAGTTAGTTAACTCATTGTTTTTTTTTTTGTGAAATAAGTTAACTTATTGTTAGTTAATTGAAAAGTGTTTATTTTTTATTTTTATTTTTTTAGAGGAAGTTTTTGCTCATCCAATCCTTGGTGGATGACTCGAGTACATGATAATTGATTCCGAACAAAGGAGAAAATAGGGTAATAGGATTTAGCATTTGCGAGTCATAAAAAATAAATCGGTGAGATACGTAGATGAAATAGAACAATTTTTCATTAAATTGGAACACAAAGGTTCCCTCCACAATAAAAGACAATAATGCCGCAAACAGCAATTTTAATTGCATAGTAAAAATAATAATAAAAAAAAAGTAATAAAAAACTAGAGAAACAAAGTCATAAGGACTTTGACTTCATTTTGATTACAATCTCAAAAGAATTTGAGTTATTTTTGACAAGCACGCAGAGAAACTCAATCACTCTTCCATGCATAATTGCATATTCATCTTCAGTTTGAGTTGGAATTCGAATCCTCTACCAACAAAGGTACTGACTCGGCCTGAAACGAAAACAAAAGTATACACAAATATTAGTGTTATTGTACATGGTACAAGTTTAAAGGATTGTAACTTATAGGATGTGGTAGTGTAAAGATCACGTACGAGCTTTTTGTACTTGAGGGCGTAGAACATTTCAAGGTAACGACGAGCCTCACGACGGTCAAGGTTTGAGACATACTTCCAGAAACCGTACACACCTGCAAGAGTTAGCAGCCTGTCTGAATAGATCTTCCATGTGTATCTGCAATAATGTCACAAGACAAACGCGTTAGTATATATATTCTTTCCCTTAAGAAATTTACCCTATTGAATATATGCAGGACATGATGTTCAGCATGTTGCTTACTTCTCTTCAATTCGTTTCAGTCCACCCTTAGAAATCTTCTCCCAGTGAGAAGGATCAGCTGCAGACTTCTCGAAGAATTCGACAAGGAGCTCAGCAGCTTTGTCCCCGTGGTATGGATCAATGTGGTAGCCAGATTTTCCATTGACAATGATCTCAGCAGGTCCACCATGGCAAGTAGCGAATGTAGGTAGCCCACAGGTCATGGCTTCAACGACTGTGAGACCGAAAGCCTCGTAGTATGCAGGCTGAACAAATGCTCCCTTGGTGTCAGCAATGTACCTGTAGAGCTCACCATTTCTCACCCTGTTCATTTGGGCAGAGATCCACCTGAATTGGCCGTCCAACTTGTACTGCTCGATAAGACCGTACATTTTCTTCATTTCTTCCTTCTCTTCTATGTCCTTGGATTCCTTCCTCCTGTCACCAGCAACCACCACAAGGTTCACAAGCTCTCTGAGCTTCTGGTTCTTACCATACCACTCGACAAGGCCAGTCATGTTCTTTACTCGGTCTAGCCTAGCCATCGAGAATATGATTGGCTTGCTCCGGTCCTTAAGAACACATCTGGTATGACACAATAAGAATGATGATTAGGATGAAGTGCATAAAATATATTATAACAATGAGAAATTAGGATCAAGGATAAGGGAAAGCAGGTTTACATGTGTTCTTCGTTCTGAACTTCACTGTAGAGAAGCTCTTCGATTTCTGAATGGAGGGCTGTGAGTCTTTTCTTCTCTTCGGTGTAAGGGAAGTAAATAGACAGATCAGCTCCAGGGGAGACAATGTTGAATTTGGGGTCAAAGACGTCAATTCCATGAACAACTCGGTAAAGTCCAGGGAGAGTGAAGGCCATGTGAGACTCATATTGTCCAACAGTATCCTTGCTGAAAGATTAAAGAATCACAGATATCAGTAAACTGATAAATTTTAAGGGAAAATCTAAATGGTAACTCTGAAGACTGAAAGAGGCCTTACTTTCCAGCAATCTCTTGGAATGTACTGGTAATGATAAAGTCAGTGTGGTTCATGGCAATTAGATCAGCAGTGAATTGGCAAGAGAAGTGGTACTTCTCCTCAAATGACTTCCAATAGATGTCAGAGTTCGGGTACTTGGTCTTCTCAAGAGCATGAGCAATCGTACATTGTGTAACTCCGAGTTTGTGGGCTAACAATGAAGCAACAATATTTCCATCACTGTAGTTTCCGACAATCAGATCAGGCTTGGCCTGTAGTTCTCCAGCAATTTCATTTGCAACATCCTAAAGGAAGAGAATTATGTACTCATTAGCCTGTCATATATATAAATTTATGACTTGGAGATTAAAAGTTGGATGTTATCAGAATGTGGGTGATTTACCTCAGTGTAAGTCTCTAGGTATGGCCAGACTTCAAATCGGGAAATCCATCTTCTGACAATTCCCTTCTCGGTTCTGAAGGGTACACGAAGAATGTGTGAGTGTTCAGTTCCGAACACCTTCTCAAGACGCTGACCACAGGTTGTCCCCACTGCATCAGGGAGCAGACGAGATACAATAAGGATCCGAGGGACAATATCAAGGCCTTGTTGCTTAATGCGTTGAAGCATTTCATTCTCCAAAGCACGGACTTGATCAAGGATATACACAACCTGTAGACACAAGTAATTAATCCTATTTAGACATCAAATACCTTTAACTGTAACGATCAATACTAATAGTATAAATTCAGGTCAAATAAAAAGGCGAAGGATAGCAAGATATATACCTGGCCACCAGTGTCAGGGTAGCCAAGAACATTGGCTTGAGCGAAGTAACCATGAGGTGAAAGGATCACAACATTGAATACCATAGGGATCCTGCCAAGGAATTTCTCGAGAGTGCAAGAATCAGGAGCCTCAAGAAGGTCAAGGAGTAGCTGAATCATGTCTGATACTCTCTCAGCAGTGTCACCCCAACCTCTCTCCAAGCCGATCTCCTGAAACTTATGATCAAACTCAGAGTAGGGTGTGTCAGCAGGAAGTGTAGCCAGGAACTCCTCTGCTTTTCTTAAAACGCTTTGGAGTGAATCAAGGTTCTGGATTCTGTCATTGAGCATCATGGTCTGCAAAGGAACAACAATACAATTATAAACACGAAATCCTTCTTCAATTCAAACTAGTCTAGTAGTCACGTTGTTCTAACCCCTTCACAAAATTCCTCACTAAGATAATTGTTTTATTTGACTCATTTCTATTTATCCCGTCACTCAATAAATATATCATAATTCATTACCAATTATAGATAAGGAAAAAGTGATTTTTCGGACATCCAAATGTAGTAAGTAACAACCATGTATATATTCCAGCTAGAGATGATGCTAACATTATTGTAAAGTGCAAGTGTCATAAAACAGATTAATTGTGCAGATTGTATGAATCTGATATTTTATAAGACTGGTCTTTTCATATAATTTTTGCAGCTTATATAATTATAAGTTATAACACAAGGCATTATGATCAGCATATCTATAGAGTATATAAAAGATCACATAGTAGGAAAAGTTACCTTGCCCTTGTAGTGATGCATCCTAAGGAAGTCAAGCAACGGGCGCATACTCTCCTTGTCATGGAACATCTTAGCAGAAAGGTGCCTGTTAAGGAACTCCACACCATTTCCAATCGATTTGGAGAGGGTAGGGCGGGGGAATGAGGCATTGAATGGCTCAAAATCGAGCTCCAGCACAAAATTTCCATTCACACTGCCATCCACATATTGGTAAAAAATAGTTTGTCAAATCCTTAGCTAATGTAACTGAGAATGCATCATACAAAATACTTCACATCTTTACAAAAAAAAAATTAATTCATCCTGAAATTACCTTCCATCAACTAATTCCTCCTTCACATGGAGGAACTGGGAGGGGGTCAATTCCTCGACAGCAAGCTCATCGACATTGACACGAATGTACTCCCACACACCAGGCCTCGGGCGAACAGCAAGGGTGATCCATGGAGGCAACACAATTGCTTCCTAAGATTTTTGAAAATAAATTTGCAAAGTATATCACATGAGAAACAACTTAAATAAACTATGATCTATTAGCATACTAAAAGAATTGAGCCAAAGTCAATATTCTTGTAACCTTAAACAAAATATTTCCAATAAATTCAAATAAGGGTTATCCAAGTTCAATTTACAAATAAAATAAGTTCGGCTACATTCCAATAAGTTCGGATAAATAATATCAGGTGAAGAGAACAAAGCCATACTACGACCCGAAATCTTTGGTGGGTACAAAAAGTGAGTAAGAAGTGTTACCTGGGTGTGCCTAAAAACTTCACCAAAAGGGCCATCAGCAAGCTTATGTTTGTCTTTGTCAGAAACAGCTTCAAATTCAGACAACAGTTCATGGGGTTGCAATATCCCTTTCCCATGACTCGCAATCCTTCAAAATTTTAATTTTTTTTTTTTTTTTTTTTGTATTATTAGTGATTTATACATTCAATAAACCCTAACCATAAAAATACAATATAAAAATAAAATCTTTGCCTAAAAAAAAAGTTAAAAGTAGTGACAAGAACACAAGATTTATGTAATGTCATGTTATCATTATCACCAGGACCATATGAATCTTAACAAAAATAACCATTTTTTTTCTTAAAAAATAAAAAATAAATAACACCAGTAAAATCCAATTATTTCAGTAAATGATATCTTGATCAAGTACGAGGTAATCCAAAGGTGGGGAAAAAAAAATCAAAAAATTATTTAATTTATCCTTAAAAATACCATGTTAAATTAAATTAAAAAAATATCCCAAGAAAATCAGAGAAAATAGTAATTAAAAATCAGATTAAAATTTAAAAAAAAAATAAAAATACCTGGACAAGTAGGAGAGAATTTCATTGCGTTGAGCAGTAAGAGTTTCATCCAAACGCTCCTTTAGGCTTGGAACCCTCGTTAAACGACCTGCCATTTCTTGTTTTTCCGGTAATTATCACACTTTTTTTTAACTGCAATCACAAATTTTCAACTGTTTAGTTCAACATAATCTTAAAATAGTAGAATTATAAAAAAAATAAAAACAATTAGTACACCATACATTATTAATTTATTTAATTAGTCAAAACTAAACCAGAAAAGCACTGAACCAAAACCATCCAAGAAAAGTACGTAGTATTACAAAAATGAATTTAGTACATTGATTATTAGGTTCAAGATTAATAAATTCAATTAACTAATTGGGTTTATCTAGAATCCTCAAATTTCAAACCCCACCAACCTTAAACAACTAATGGCCGACCTCACTAATTTTAAATTTAACACTTATTAGTGATCTACTTAGGCAAGTGAGCGCCTAAGTCTACATAATGATACAATGAACTTAAGGGCTAACGACTCTCACACTGTGATTAAACCCCAGAGTTAGCGACCCTTATATTGTGATTTATTATTTTTTTGGTGTTTAGAGAGCCACAAAGGCGGGGTGAGAATCGATCAGGACCTCCTAAAATCGAGAGGAAAGCTCTAACCACTTGAGCTATCCCTCACTCTCTATATTGTGTTTTATCATTGTCCGTATATTATTACGACTACAACTAAAGTGTTAGCCATCCTCACACCGTGATTGACCACTTATAAAAAAATTGGCTAGATCTTTAGAGAAATTTAAATTAACTGTTAAAAATTTTGTGCTAGGGTAAAAAATTGTAACTTTACTAAAAAGGGTAAGAAAATATGAGGGTGGTGAAAAACCAGAACAAGTGATATTTCTTTAAACGTTGCATGATTTTTTGTAACCAAAAATTAGGGGATTGATCATTTAATCACATATTTTAACGTCATATTAAAAAGCTCAGAAATTTTTGTCAGAATTTCTTTTAATTTTTGGCACAAATTGAATTTTTCTTTTTAAGTGATTATGTGACTCAGAGTAAAAAAACAGGGGAAAAGCCATGCAATGGCCAACCAAAACAGGGGAAAAACAGAGTATCTTGAATTTATAAACTTATATTAAGTAAATAAAAATGAAGAAAATAATTAAGTAAAATGTATAAATGAGTGAATAAATAAATAAAACTTACCAGAAAAATGATGAATGAAAAAATGGATGAAGTATAAAAATGTAAGGGAGAGTGAAGGAGAGAAAGAATGTCTTAAAGAGAGTGGGTTCATGGGAATTTATAGAAGAGCATCAACCCCATAAGCCCATAAGGGTCGCTTGTTATGCAAGCAAATTTTTTAATTAATTTTATATAAAATAAATTAAAAATAATAAATAACTGAATAAAATATGAAAATAAATAAGGACAAATAAGATTATGTGTCACCAAACATCATTATTATTTCTCCATGTATGTCAAAATTAGAGTAGGTTCTAGTTGTTCCACACACATACAGAAAAGTTCAATAGTATATTTATTATTTTATTTAATTTAATTTTTCTTAAAAATTATTAAATGAATGGATAATATAAATATAATACAGAATAAATATGTGATTATGTGTTAGTATGATGATCATAAGAAGAATATGTATTGTATTTTTGAGTTTGATATGTAACATGTATTTTTAAAGTTGAATCTAATTTAATGTTGACAAACATTAAGCTAGTACAATATTTTGAGTATCCATATTATTTACGAACTACAACGTACATACGAATAATAAGTAAGAGTTGTAATGAATTTATTGGAAATTTCTAAAAAAAATTGCTTTAAGAAAACATTTCTTTTTCATCTAGCTTTCTAGGATAGAGATTTTTCATCTTGACTATTTCTCCATAATATATGTACTGCGACACAAATATATTCTTATTCGTTATTTAATTTTTTTCTTTTCACGAAAGCAAAGGAAGAAGAGAATTGGAAATGGATTTTTTCCATCCAATCAAATGATAAATGATATAGAAAATTTCAACACTTAATCTTATGATAAACATTAGAAAAAGTTGGTCTACGACTATCAAAATTGTTAACTAATCTATAAGATATTAAGATAATATATTCCATTTTCCATGGTACATAGTTAAACATGTACCACCTTTGTTTTCCTTCCATTTTCATCACCTTTATTCACTTTTATCTATTCATTATTCAAATTCCTTCTTACCTCTAAGAAATTTATTTCTATCTATATACTCTATATATCTTCTATATTTTGATCAGACCAAGATCCTCTATTCAGATTAAAACACAAAAATGATCCACATGAGCGATCTAGCCTATTTATGACTTTTCTTTTAATTCTTGTAAGATTATCATACTAATCGAGTTGAACTCAAAAATACGAAAATTATTAAAAATCCAAAAAAAAAAAAAATAAAAAAAAATTACAAATAGTATTGGTATTACAATAATGTTGAAAACTTGAAATTTAACTACCCATGGTATTAAAAATGTACATGAATACACTCACCCCCTTTGCTCGTGGATCCCACCAACAAATTTGTTGGTCAGTTTCATTTATCCAATTTTGGATAATACATACCCTTAGTAGTTACTAGTTAGTACTTGTACACATTATTTTGGACTAAGATAATGTACATTATTAAAATTATTTAGATGTTGGTTATGTAATCAAGCTAACACTAAAACCTTTGTTTTCAGACATTTTCTGTCTTTTTCTTCACATTATTTCATTATCAAGAAGCCACATTATGCAAAAATGACAAGAGATTAATATTCTTCCTAGCTACTATAGGTCACTTAAATTATTAAGCTGCATAATTCAGTTTTATATTGTTTTAAATAACATATAATATAATACTCCTTAACTTCTTTTGGATATGATCAAAGATTACTATCAGCAAAACCTAATCTTATTAATAATATGTTTATTCTATTATTTCTAGAAATCAAAAGTTGCTCTGATTTCATTTTTCTATGTTTTGCCAAAAAATAATCCTATAAAAAACTATTTTATTTTTAAACGCTACTGTATACTTGTTTCAACTTTATTTGCGGACTAGTTGGCTAACGTAAAAACTAAAAACAATAACTTTGAGAAATGGAGAGAGTATTAATTTTTTAAAAAGTATATAAATTTTTTAAATAAATCAAAATAATTTAATCAACAATAGTATTACAATTAGTATAGTAATCATGGTTAATTATTGCGTTCCAAGAGACAAATATTTCTTTTTGACCAAAAAAAAAGTAGCTAAAAATAAAATAATATTGGGATAAGAAAATGTACCAATCATATGGTATCTAAATGGATTTTGGTACTATTGTACCCCAAATAAAAGGTAAAAAAATTGATGTGCACCTAATACCTTAGAAAAAGATTAATGTCGTTAAACCTCATCCATGATTTTCATTACATTTTATGTGGGGAACAATGTCAATAGGTATATTCTCAAAGTTCTACGATTAACACCAACAAATAGATTATGATAAAGAAGTAAGATAAAGGAAGAAAAGATTAGTTAAGATATTCTTCTAATTACAAACAATTAATTAATAATCGTGGACTATTAAATCATCAAATGTCAACATCTATCAAAAAGAAGAACAAAAATTACGAAAGCATTTGGCTAATTGCATTATCATATTGTGAAACATTTGAAAATTAATTTAGGAATAAAAAAAAAAGTTAATAATGTTTGTAACTCAATGGTATGATGAAACTATCGACTACAATATATAGAAACAATGATATAATGCATGTAGCATTTGTGTACAAACTATAACAATAATATTGTAAGAAGCGAGTTTATAAATTACCTGAATAGTGTAAAAATTGAAAATGCCAAAGCTCAAAAGTTGGCAAAACGATTAAAAAAAATATACTTATATAACGTAAATAAGAGAATAGAAGGAAATGAAGTGAGATTTGATGATGAAGTTAAAATTTGATGAAGAGCTATATATAGGAAATGAATTCTTAACCATTAGCAGCCCACAAATTGATGTACAGGGTTCTTCTTTTTTCGTACAAAATTAATTAAACAAATAATAAAGTTAATCCAAGTTGCAAATTAAGAGTATGTAAGATCCTGTGTTCTTTTCTTAAAACCACTTTTCATAGTCATACCACCAATGGTTTTACTTAATTTGCCCACAATTTTGTAACCCCACCGTCTTCCACCCTCTAATTAACTTAATTATTACTAGCTGTCTAATTATTGACCTAACTTTAATTATTATTTTTTACTTTAGTTTTTTTTACTAGCCTATGATATTGTGTAACTTAATTGTTTATGTATGTAGTATTGTGATGTGCTATTGAAGCTGTAATCTATTACATTAGTTTGAGTGAATATGTTAATTTAATTGATTGGTTAAAGCAATAGATCGATGAAGATAGTAAAAGATTGAAAGGTGTTTATGAATGAATCAAAACGCTCGTATATTCCACATTCGTTTTTTCTTTGCATTAGGTTCAATTATTTTTATTAGTTTTAAGAAGAGTTGTAAGATTCAAACTATCCATATAGATGATTTGTTAGTGCGTAATATTTTTTATCACCATGCTAGAAATCCTAGAGTGGATTACCATGTGAAAAATATACTCTAGTAACATCGGGTTTGTCGCTCAGTTGAAAGCCATGAAACGAAATTAAATACTCTATGCTCTCTAGTCTATGTAAAGAATTTTGTAGATTAGTAGTGGATGTTATTTGAAGAACATGAGGAAATTTTAACCAACAAAAAATGGGTTAGCTTTACAAAATCACCCAAATTATATCTTCACAAAAACAAAGTACTTAGTATATAGAATTAGTAACATATTCTCAATCAATTTTTCAAAAAAAAAAAAAAAAAAAAAAAAAAAACTCACTTTTAATAATCTTTTATGATTTGATTAGTAATGGAAGCATATTAGTGAGGTGACTTAAGCAAATATAGCTTGGTAACTTTTTGTAACACTAATATAAATATTTTGACTAATTCACATGAAAAATAAATAAATAAATAACGCATAACATGCAATATGAATCATGAAATGATATTATGTTAAAAAGAGACATATTTTTACAATTTTCAACTGGTTATGAAAGGAACGTATGCGAATTTTTTTTAAAGTGTTAAGTGAAGTGAGAAGCATTTGAGTTGATCCACCGTCCATTACGCTATTAGAGGAGCCACCTTCAATTCCCTTTGTAAAAAACATTTATGCTAATTTAGAAAGGCCAATTGACTCTTTCTATATATTTTTACCCTTTTTTTGGTTTCAAATTTTGTTTGCTTTTTTTTTTTTTTTCATATTAGTTACATTAAAGTATGTTTTAAAAGTGATTATAATATAAACATATAATTCGTGTGTCAAATAATTATTGGCCAGTATGACACTACTATGACTATCCTATAATGTGACTTATAGGATATAGGTCATGATCGGCAAACACAGTTGTAATGGCTATTAAAGGTTAGTTATCATAATAAATACTCCGTAAATAAATTCTTTCGATGTTGATTCTAACTATTGAAATACAGATCGGAGTACTTTTGATTATGAGAAATATAGAGTGTGTGTGATAATTAGAAAGTTTACTTTTAAACAAAAACCTCATTATCTCCATCAAATGCATCATTTTCTTCTTTCTCTCTTGCAAAAGAAATTTTCCTTCTTTAATTAATACCCTTTATCTCCCTTAGCTTGCAAAAGAATTTTATCCTTGTTGAAATTAATATCATTGTAAGAAATGGGAGAAGTTAAGAAATATGTGGCCTTTATTAATTTGAACTAATCTCCAAGTTTGGTGACTTAGGGTTAACTAATCTCTCCTATCAGCTCAAACAAAACTCCAACTAAATCTAAACAAGTACTAGTATATAAAAACCAAAAATCAAGAATGGCAATGGATCAGACTAGCAGGCCAATGGGTTAGACTAGTAGACCAAGTCCTGCGACGCTAAGCTAAGCAGGCATGGCTCGTGCTAAGATGGTTAGTTTGGTTAAATGTTCCGCTTTCTTTCTTTCAAACTTACATAATCTATCATATTAAATTGGAAAATTTGTCTAGAAGGGACTTATATGTTCACTATTTTGTCTGGAAGGACCTTATATGTTCAAAGTGGTCTAAAAAGACCTTATAAGTTTGTTTTGTTGTTTAGAGGGACCTTGACGTCACATTCCGGTGATTGACTTTTTAACTCCAGCGTTGACTAGTCACGTGACTCTCACACGACTTAAAAAATTACCATCCCTCTTTTTTTTTTCCCTTTTCCCCACCATTCTTCTTTCTCTCTCTTCTTATCCCCTTAATTTCTCTCTCCTCTGGTATTC